GAAAATACACATAGCCAAAGATACGCCATTTCAAAAATTTACAATTTTTTTTTTAAGAAGAGAAAATTAATCATTATTGGCATCATTCATTCATTCCACCAATACTTGCTGAGCACCTCCCATAAAGTGCCAAGCCCCATGCCAGACGCTGTGGCCATTAACTCCTGCTGGAGTTTAAGTTATAGCATTAGAGTTTTCTGATGCTCCTCCATCTTTGTAAAAACTAAAACAGCTCATCTGTTGTTCCCTGATTATGTTTATACATTTTAAAGGTATGAAAAAGTATATCCTTTTAAAATGTTCAGGAAAACATTCTTGAGTTAAGTGTAGAAAGATAAGGTAGACTGCATGAGAATTATGATAGTTTCTTTTCCTAGAAGAACATGAACAAAATTACCATAGTTGATAGAGTACTGATGTTATACAGGAGTCCCTGGGTGGTGGAAACGATTAATGTGCTCGGCTGCTAACCAAAAGGGTTGGAGGTTCAAGTCCTCCCACAGGCACCTCCGAAGAAAGGCCTGGTGACCTATTTCCAAAAAATCAACCATCAAAAACCCTGCGGAGCACAGTTCTGTGGGGTTGCCATGAGTCGGAATCGAGTAGATAGCAACTGGTTCAAAGTTACGCAGATAAGCTCCTGTTTGACAATAAATAACCAATAGCCAGATCTTGTGCGCCATTGAAGTTTTATTGACTTAAGTGGCTTCTGCTAGCCCACAAGAAATATGAAACCCAGAGGGTTCATTTGGACATCACTGGTTTTATGTGTCACGCCACAGTCACTCTTACATGAGGTAAGAATGTTGGGTCAACTCACAGAAGTTTTTATTCCTCTTTAATTATTGACACGGCCTCAGAATCCTTAGGTTGTATACGGTTACCTGTTAAGTAGATTTACAACAGTCTTTCCTTTGATTTTAGGGATATTTTTTTCAAGCTAATTAATTATAAACACCTTGAATAATTTTTTTAAGCTAATGTAAAAATATAAAGCAGCTGTATTATAAATTGTGTATTTACTGATCCACTGCTATTTTAAGATTCAAGAATATTTCTTTCCCATGTGACTAGCGTACTGGGAATAAGAAATCAGGTTGGATTAACAACCAAAGAAGTGTTTCTTAAATACAGGCTAGTACTGAATTTTAATACTACAATTAAATTCAATTTCAGTATTTAAAAGAAAGTTATAGGTTGAAAGTACTAGCTATTTTTAGTTACCTTCTCGTCCCTGTCACTGCGAGGGCCTTGGGCAAAGTTTATATCTTAATAACCACAGTTGTCTTTTACAAATAAAAAGCATTGAAGTCAAGTTAAGTCAAGGCAAAATATGCAATGGCTGTGATTGTACTGCTGCTTCTCTTTTCCCCATCACTGTGACACTAGATTCTTCTGTTCTTTGATTCTCTTACTATTTTCAGTAACCTCACCTAAAAATTAAATATTAGTGGCACATTGTTTTCTGAACAGTGTTAGTTGTTATAAAGCTAATTCCTCTTTTCATGGCTTAATGTTCCCTGTTAAAATGTTTGACAGTGTCTACCTGTACCTTGTTACGTCTTTACAAGGACATTTGTCCTTGTGAAGTAGCCAGCTGTGGAGAGTCCCAAACACATCTAACATCTCTGTGATGAAAACGCATGCTATTGCTTAATTGCTGATTCTGATCTTGTTTTTTTTTTTTTTTTGTTTTTTTTTTTACGTGTGTGCTTATGTGTTTCAGGAAAAAAGTGCCAGTTCAAATGTAAGACTTAAAACTAATAAAGAGATTCCGGGATTAGTTCATCAACCCAGAGCAAAGTAAGTTCTAGTTCCTATTTTCCTTATGTTATTTTTAAAGATAAAAATGCTTTCAGAATGAGTTCCATTTTTGCCTGCCATGTACTAAGATTTAGTATGAAGCTTTAGTAATTGAGACAGTGTGGTTTGATGTAACCTAGCAGAATGGAGACTCCCCCCCAAAATAGACCACAATATATGACAAAGCTGACATTGCAGATCAATTAGGAGAAAACAGAGGGGAATATCTTTATGACTTTGGGGTAGGGAAAAATTCTAATAAGATACAGAAGATGCAAATCTTAAAAAAAATGACTGCATTGAAATTAAGAATTTCTGTTTATCAGAGTATACCATAAAAAGAGTAAGCGGCTCCAAATGGGGGAAGATATTTACCACACATGTAATTGGTGGTAGATTAGTTTTCAGGATATATGAAGTAATTGTGCAAATCAGTACATAAAAGACAGAGAACCCATAGAAAAATGGACTAAAGACATAGACAAGCGTTTGAGTAAAGAAAAATGCTGCACCTCATCAGTCCTCATTAAACCTACATTGAGATGCCATTTGGTTGGCAAAAATTTAGAAGTCTGACAATACACAAGGTTGAGTAACAGAAACTCTCAGCCCCTGCTTGTAGGAATATAAACTGGTAAAATTACTTTGGAAAACAATTTGCATTATCTAGTAAAATTGTACCTCGACCTACCCAGCAACTCTACTCCCAAGTTGATGCCCTAGAGAAACTCTTGCACATGTGTGCTAGGAGACATATATTTAAATGTTCACTGCAGCGTTGTTTACATAAGCTCTTTGAGGTAAAACCCAAACTCTGTCCTAAATACGATGAATAAAACAAAGCTGTGGCATGTTCTTATGATGGGAATACTACACATCAGTGAAAATAAATGACCTACAGCTACACATACAAATAGATGAATCTCAGAAATACAGGGTTGAAGTAGTAAAGTAAGTTGCAGTCTATATCTACATATTGTTCCATTCATATAAAGCTCAAAAACAGACAAAACTAGGCATTATACTGTGTATATGTGTATGATAAAGCAATAAAGAAAAGCAAGGAAACAAAAACATACTAAATTCAGAATAGTGGTTCTTTCCGGCAGGAGGAAAGACAGTGGGATCAGGAGGTCTGTTTCTTAATCTGGGTAGTGAGTATACGTGTATTCCTTTAATTATTGTTATTCAAAAATGTAGAAATAACATATGTTTTCTTGTCTACGTGTTATATGTTTCACAATTAAAAAGATAAAAAGAAGAATGAGTATCACGCATCAATCAAATCGCATTCTGGAGAGCTGTAGTTTTTTATATTGTTCTGGAACTGAATCTACCTTGACAATGAAATGTGCTTTGTGTGACTTTGAGGCAATCCTCCCTTTCTTCCAGAAATCAAACCAAAAAAACCTGTTGCCATTGAGTCGATTCCAACTCATAGCAATCCTAGAGGACAGAATAGAACTGCCCATAGGGTTTCCAAGGAGTGGCTGGTGGATTCGAACTGTTAACCTTTTGGTTAGCAGCCAGGCTTGTAACCACTGCACCACCAGGGCTCCCCTTTCTTCCAGAAGGCTTTGTTGTCCCAGAGGCTGGGACTCTCTAGTGTGGTGTTTCACCTAAATATGGATGAATTCCCTGAGAGTGCCGATAACACTGGTAAATTTAATACAGTCACATCCACCCCAAAATAAATTTGATGATTACGTATATGTAATATTAGCCCCGTAAATCAAAATCAGGAGACCCTGGGTGGCGCACTTGGTTAAGCACTAGGCTACTAGCTGAAAGGTTGGTGGTTCAAACCTATCCAGAGGCTCCTCAGAAGCAAGGCCTGGCGAGCTGCTTCCAAACCGTCACAGCCTTGAAAACCCTGTAGAGTGCAGTTCTACTCTGACACACATGGTGTCTCCATGAGTCGGAATTGACTCAACAGCAACTAACAACAACAAATCGAAATCATAAGTGGAAAAAGATGGGTCATCTCTGGGTTCTTCCCAGGAGATTGACACAGAAATAACCTAGTTCATAATCATTTTAACTGGGCTTAGGGTCTGTGGAATTGCTACAGCCGAAACTGCCATGATGTGAGCTCAGTAATTTAATTCTTACTTTCCAAAAAAAAAAAACTAAACATTTAAAAATCCACTTATCACTTACAATGTCCGTGTCATGTTACAACCGATTTTTTTCACCCTTAGGTAAGTGTAGTAACTACTTTCCTAGTAGGCTTCACCACTAATCACCTTTATCTACACAAACTTTATCTGCCTTTGGGAATAGCAGATATCTGGTACTCAGCCAAGGCATCTTTACATTGAAGCCACCTGATATATGTGGTTTTTAACTGCTTCCCTTATCTCTGTGTTATACGGAGAGCCTGTATTGAGAAGGATCTCTTTGGTCTTTTAGAGAGATTACTTAACTTTGAGATACTGAAACAGCACACTTCCCAAACTGGCACATACTGAAGCTTTTAGGGAAGTTTATTAAAACGGCTCATGTGTTTACAGTAAAATTATAAAGAAAATCCACTGCTTTCCACAAAGCAGCCTGTGTGTGTTTTCAACAGGGAGTCAGAACTTGGGTGCCTGAAACTCAAGCAAGAAATCTTTCTGATGGGGCAAGAGGAGAATTTTACTTTTCCTACTTGCTGATATACAGGATCAAGGAAACCATCATTTACTCTGCAACTGTATGAAATTTTTTTTAAAAAACCTGCTGCCTTCAAGTCAATTCCGACTCAGAACGACCCTATAGAACAGAGTAAAATTGCATTAAATAAAACAAAGGTGTAGTATTGCTTGCCTTTATGATATGGGATTGTCCTTCCACTCACGGGGGCGGGGAGGGGTGGCGGGATTGGAATTTCACTATCTTATTTCATATGGAGCCCTGGTGGTGTAGTGGTTAAGAGCTATGGCTGTCTACCAAAAGGCTTGCAGTTCAAATCCACCAGGCACTCCTTGGAAACCCTATGGGACAGTTCTACTCTGACCTTACTGGCTTTGTGATCTCAGGCAAGGAACCTACTGACTTCGAGCTTCAGTTTTCACAGAGGAAAAAGGGGGTGAAAAACTGTCGTGTAGGGCTGGGGATTAAATGAAACAATGTATGTCCAGTGCTTATTACAATGTCTGGCCCTTAAGAGCTCCTTAATAATGCAAAACAGCCTAAATGCCCTTTACCAAGCAATTGGGTGAGTGAACTGCACCAAATTCATACAATGGAATATTAGCAGGTAAAACAAATGTCCTACAGCAATACACAACACTGGGTGGACCTTAACAATATAATATTAAAAGAAAAGTGTTAAGTTCCAAACAATTACATACAGCATGATGCACTCTTTATAAAGTTAAAAACAACTGAAATAATATTCTTTATAGGCACATGTTATAGAAAAAGTATACAAAAAGAAAATGAGGAAGTGGTGATTGCCTTGGGTTAGGGGAAGCACCAGCATGGGTTGGAGGAAAAAAATAAGTTGTTGTTGCATGCCATCAAGTGGATTGGGACTCATAGTGACCCTATAGGACAGAGTAGAACTGCCCCATAGGATTTTCTTGGCTGCAGTCTTTACGGGAGCAGGTTGCCAGTTCTTTTCTCCCTCAGAGCCTCTAACCCAAACCACACCGGTTGCCGTCAAGTCGATTGCAACTCATAGCGGCCCTATAGGTTAGTGTAGAACTTCCCCATAGGGTCACCAAGGAGCAGCTGGTGGATTCGAACTGCCAGCCTTTTGGTTAGCAGCCATAGCTCACAACCACTCGCCACCAGGGCTCCAAGAAACCAAACCCTTTGCCGTGGAGTCGATTCTGATTCATAGTGACCCTGTAGGACAGAGTAGAACTACCTCATAGGTATTCCAAGGAGCAGCTGGTGGATTCGAACTGCCAACCTTTTGGTTAGCAGCTGAATGCTCAGAGCCTCTGGGTGGGTTCAAACCACCAGCCTTTCTGTTAGCAGCCTAATACTTAACCACCGTACCACCAGGGCTCCTTGGAGGATAAGTTAGCTATAGGTTATTGTCAAGATCCTAGCCATTGTTTTTGATTTTGCTTTCATGGGTGCTTATTATACTGTTTTTAAAAAATGAATTAATTAGCTAATTAAATAAAGAAAAGTGAGCCCTGCATAAACTGCTGGTAGAAGTATGTCATGAAATGGGGATTAGGATTAGCCTACTTCCCTGAGGTCCAAATGGAAAGTGAGAATGAGCATGAAGAAATAACTGTGTGCAGGCCAAGCTTTACCAGGAACCCACTGGGTAATTGAATTTCATCTCCGCAGGTGAAATGTTAGGGAATTAGGACCTTGCTTTCTCATACTTCGGTAGCGTGGGTTTTTATTTGAAAACTTCACTAAAAGCCACTTAGTCTTGTAGCTCTAAAGCTCGTTTTGCCCACCACTTGTTAATTTGACTGCACTGCATTAAGATGCCATAGTGTTCTCATCCCTAATCTCATGAAACTGAAAAGTCACAGCAAGAAGAGCCCTTGACTGAGCAGGGTTAACTCACAGGAGCTTTGCCAGCGCTAACTGGTAGCTACTAAAAGTGCTCCAGCAGTGTCTTTTCTTGGTTTCTCCAAGGCTGAGTTTCAATTGTTAGAGAGAAACCGGAATTACCAAAGTGGTTAAGCTTTATTACTTAAATCAGGTGCCAACACACAGGCTTTGAAATAAGTGTTTAGATCTAATAAATATTAAAAAAAAAAAAAAACCATTGCCGTCGAGTCGATCCTGACTCATAGCGACCCTATAGGACAGAGTGGCTCTACCCCATAGGGTTTCCAAGGAGCAGCTGGTGGATTGGAACCACTGACCATTTGGTTAGCAGCCTGAGCTCTTAACCACTGCGAATCAAGTATTCATGCTCTATAAACCGTGTCAGTCATAAGTAATTCAGTTATCCCTTGGTGGCGCAGTGGTCAAGAGCTTGACTGCTAACCAAAAGCCCAGCAGTTCGAATCCACCAGCTGCTCTTTGGAAACCCTATGGAGCAGTTCTCCTCTGCCCTATAGGGTCGCTATGAGTCAGAATCAACTCAACAGCAATGAGTGAGTTTGTTGTTTTTTTAAAAAAAAAAATATATATATATATATATCTTGAAGAAAGAAAAGTCAGATGCTTTTCCTTCTCCCTCCCTCCCTTACTCAGAATCATCAAATTGTGCGCCAGGAATGATTTAAGAATCAGGTCGTTACCCAGGGACTGTTTTCTCACACTGCAGTTGGTACTCTTGAAGGTAAAAGCTAATATACATGCTATTGTGTGGATAGGGTTTCCATACGGGAAGAGTGTATTGTGCTTATGTAGGTGAGGGTCAGTCGATATGGGGTAATTTATTTCGTCAAATTTTTTCTCTGCCGTTGTTGAAGAGTTTATGGTGCCTGTCTCTGGGATTAACCCCTGGGGGACAGCAAAGTAAGCCTCATGCGTTCAGACTACACTGCACCTAAGACAGCACACAGGAACTGAGGACCTCGAGTGGGTGTTGGCTGTGTCTGCAGTGTCTGCCACACTTCAGTGACAACAGTTTATCTGAAAGAGCTGCTTCAGTGCATCATGCTTCCATGATAAATTGCTCTTCCATTCAGTCTTTTCCAACTAACACAATCCACGTACAGTATTTCAGAGTGACAAGTTAGTGAATCTATCTAGTGAGTGGCTCTTCTTGGTAGGTTATGAAATGAGACAGAGGCAAGCAGGGATGGTGGAACTCCCTTAAGGGAAGAAAAAGCAGGCAGCATCTCTGTATTAGTGGGGTATGATCGGAGAGATGCCCGGATGACAGGACCAGCTGCCTTCGCTGGGTTAGAATTGTTTCTCCCATGTGAAAATGGAAGTTTCCTGACTATTCTACCCCTAAGATAGTGCTTAGTTCAGGATGGAGGTGGGATTGAAAATACAGTCTTGTTTAATTAATCGTGAGCTGATGGCTTTTGTTCAGTTTGTTTTAATCAAGGGGATATATACATTTTTTAGTTAGTAAGTATGTATGTGTGTATGTAATTAAACTCCACAAAGCTTAAACCACTCAGGTTTTTGTGCTTGTTTTACCATATATATGCGTGCTGAGGTCCTCATCCATCACCTCTGGTCTCAAGCTCCTGATACAGACCTCCAAGCCTGTGTTAAGTGCATTCTTGATCACAGAGGCTGTAGACACACTTCCAGAGTTGCTTTTACTTTACATCATACCAAAACCTTTGGGACACAGCAAAGGCAGTCCTCAGAGGACAATTTATAGCAATAGATGCACATATCAAAAAAGAAGAAAGGGACAAAATCAAAACATTAACTACAGAACTCAAACAAATAGAGAACAGCAAAAAAAGCCCACAACCACTGGAAGAAAGGAAATAGTAAAGATCAAAGCAGAAATAAATGGAATAGAGAACAGAAGAACAATAGAAAGAATCAACAGAGTTGCTTTCACTTCAGACGTCCCCCTTGTCCCTCTAATGTGCCCGTGTATGAGTACTAATCACACACTTTCGTTTTCATGTTGTGATACGAACATGAAGGAGGTAATGGCAGTTACTAACTATCACAAAGCATTAGCCTGGAGACCAGCTGGCCACTTTTCTAGATGAAGAACTGGAGGCCCCTTGACATGCCCATACTAACAAACTGCACTGTCTCCTTAATATGTCATAAGTCACAACAAATATCAATAGAGAGTAGTTTGTCACTTAATTAACAAATACGTATTGCCCCCTTTTATATTCAAGGCAATCTGTACTAAAAACTATAATAACCACACAGTGTCCACAATGAGCACCAACTCATAAAAATTCATCTTTATGAGGTCTGTTGGAATTTCCTAAGAAAACTACATGTACATACCTTAAGGCCTTTCTATCTGGAACCCAGGGCCATCCAGCAACCTCATCTGTGGAGAGCTTGGCCACGACCAGGAAGGATGCCCAAAAGGTGCCTGAGTAGCCAAAATGGTTGACAGAAAACTCATGTTGAAAGCCCCCAGGGTATCCCTTAGAGCCGGTTTATAGTAACTCTAGTATGAACTTGGCTCTAACAAACTTGGCTGTGTTTTTTCCAGCTAGTAAGAAAGCTGAGAGGGACCGAAAACTTCATTGACAAGACGAGATGAGACAGGAAAAGCTGAAAAGCAGGCGAAGAACAAAAGCTCTGGAGTTTAAGGCCATTTTGCTGAAAGAGAGCCAACTCTACCCATCTTGGTAGGCTCTTGGGGTATCAGAGTATTACAGGAGAGTATTACAATTTAAGTTCATAATAATGGTCCCTGGTCCTTAAGCAAAAGTTAGCTAATGCTTGTGACATATCCTCTATTAAATTGTGTGCAGTTTAGAAAGATTTGCATCCAAAGTGCCTAAAATAAAAAGTATTTTGGTGCTCGAAGAAGAATATCATGAAGAGTCTGGGAAAACTCAGCTATTTAAAATGGCTTTTCTGCCCAGGGTTCTACAGAGATGAAACTGTTTAATGTATTCTCATCCCCCCAAAAGGTGCCCTGCCTTTCAAACTTGGGGTAGGAGAGAGCCTGTTTCTCAAACAAAACCTTTACCTTATTCACATGATCGTATAAAGGACAGCAACTTTACATGATATTTGTGAAAGTGCTTTGTAAAGTGTAAAGGTTGATTACTCGCATCAAACACTTTCATTGTTTTCCTTTTATAATCCAACTGCTTGTCATCATGCTCGTAGATTTTAAATCTTGATTTCACACCCCGGAGAAGACCAGCTCTCGGTGACAGGAGACCTGAAGGGTTTGGGGTCACTATGCCACTCTCGGTGGCCTCTAAAGGATGAGGCGTGATGCTAAGGGCTATGTTAGGTAGGCTTCTCACCACACTTAGGCTCTTCCAGAGCCCACCCTCTACCCCCGGCCCCCAACCACTACAACCAGTGGGAACTAATAGTAACTAAAAGAAACCCATGTAATCTCTTACTCCAGCATCCTTAACCTCCTTGGAACACTCACATCCATTTGCTAGGTACAAACTACTGTCTTTAAGACCTGATATTACCATAGAGGCCCGTTCCCCTGCACCCCACTCCCGTCTGTGGTGCTTCTAACTCTCCTTACCTTCTTGTGTTTTGTCTCTTGTCAACCATCGAGTGGTGTCACTAGGGTTGATGTCACCCAGTGTGGTAACTCTGGGTGTCACCTTCCCATGCTAATTATCACAATATTATAGCTAAAACACCAGCAAATTTGACAAAATCAGCGACTGTAAAAAAAGAACACTGGCAGCAGTGAAAATAACAGCGCATGCAGACAAAAAAACCATGGGATTCAAAGCGTCATTGTGATTGGGTAATAATGACAGCTCTGACCAGAGCACGTTAGATAGTTCAAAAATTAGCATAGAGTTTTAACCTTGTAGGTATATTAATACATGTAAGCTGGGCTTGGAGCCCTGGTGGCGCAGTGGTTAAGAGCTCGGCTGCTAACCAAAAAGTCAGCAGTTCAAGTTCACCAGCCACTCATTGGAAACCCTATGGGGCAGTTCTACTCTGTCCTTTAGGGTCACTGAGTCGGAACTGACTCGATGGTACCTAACAACAACAACAAACCTGGGCTTATGAAAAGTTTTTGTTGTTCTAACTAACTACAGGAATCTTTTTATAAAAAATAGCAAATTTCTGCTGAAACACTCTGCAAAAATTTTATAGACAGTCATTTTGGTGTCACCCCCTCTGACAGTGTCTCCTGGTGCAGTCCGTACCCCTCACACCCCCCTAGTGATGCCACTGGGACCATCTCACTAAGGATGCTGTCAAGTGGCATGTTATGGTTAGGTGCCCTCAAGTCGATTCTACTCGTAGCAACCCCGCGTGACAGAGTAAAACTGTCCCATAGGGTTTTCTTGGCTGTAATCTTTATAGGAAGAGGTTGCCAGGTCTTTCTCCCGTGGGGCCACCGGGTGGGTTTGAACCAGCAACCTTTCAGTTAGCAGCCAAGTGCTTAACCATTGCGCCACCAGGACTCCTGAGAAGTGGCGTAGGACAAGCAAAAAGAGGGCAAATGCTGCTCAGACAGACTTCCTGATTCACTCCCACATTCCACTTTAGTTCCAAAGAGGTGTAGTTACTCTCACCAATGCAGAAGTCATTCAGGGGCAACATCAAGTCATCAGTATGTTCTCAGCTTATTTGCAGCCAGCCTCCACCTCTACAGTCAGCTGAGTATCATGCTGATGCTGACAACCTTTTAAAACATACATTTCAATGTAATAACCAGGATATGTTTTCTTTTTATGGTTTCATACAGGGTTGAAATATGCCATGTGCTACTTGCCTGTGCCATTTTTTTTTTAATCACAAATGTGTGTCTGAAGAAAAAAAATTGGCACACACCTTCCAGTAACATTACTATAAATAACATCTGTACATTGAAAGGAAATTGTATTCCTTAAATCAGAGGCACTGATAGACTATTATGAAATGCATTTGTAGGAGTACTGTAACTACATTTATCCCTAATACAACTTCAGAGTATTTCCGTGCAAAAGCCTGCAATAAATAAACATCTGTCCCTAAGTTTAGGGGCTCAGCATTTTTTATTTGGGGGAGCTAGGTTTAAGAAAGCAATGAAAGACGCACTCAACTGCTCTTTGTTTTTCAGCATGCATATCTCTGAAAGCCAACAAGAATTCTTCAGAATGCTGGATGAAAAAATTGAAAAGGTAAGAAGTAAAATAAATTCAAATTGACTGTGTGTTTCAAAGGAATTGTACTATTGCCTCATGAGTTAGGGTAACAATACTGTTGTTCCCTTGTTACAAAGCTATTTTTGTAAGGGGGTGGGTTAGAGTTAAAACAGAAGTGGTCATCTGCCCTGCCCCTGTCCTTCCCCAGACACACACACAAAAACAAATGTAGCTGTGAGAATGTTTAATGTATGATAGCATCTCCCAGGATCCTGGGCTGCCCCACCCATCAAAGTATATAAAGCGGATAAAAAAACAAAACCCGTTGCCATTGAGTCAGTTCCAACTCATGGTGACCCCATATGTTACAGAGTAGAACTGGTTTTCTTGAAGATTACAGCCTGTAATCTCTGTAACATGGAGTTGCCATGAGTTGGAATCGACTTGACTGCAACTAACAACAACAGCAATCTTTACAGAAAAAGATTGCAAGGCCTTTCTTCCGTGGCACTACTGGGTGAGTCTGAACAGCCAACCTTTATGTTAGTATTTTAGCTAGTATTCTAGCACAAACTGTTTGCACCACCCAGAGATGTATAAAGACAGATAAAGACTGGTAAGCAACCTTTGCCTAGAGATGGGGCATTCCTGTCACTGTGTCAGGTGTTTGATGCCACGCTCTGACCTCCGTGACTGCAAGGAGGCCCTTAGTACCTGCCAGAATCTGTCAAGTGCCTACTGTGTACATGCCAGACACTGCTCTGAATTCTTTACAAACATCACATAGATATTTCAGTCAATACTTGCCTCAAGGTCATGGCTACGAGACAGGTATTATCTGCATTTTACAGACAAGGAAACTGAGGCTCAGAATGCTTCAGTAAGTTACCCAGGTTTGCAGGGTTACTGATAGTGTCAAGTTGGAATTCCAGCCCAGGTCTGTCTCACTCCAAAGCAGGGTCTACAAGTTACTTCTCCAGTAATGTGTGGATTTACAATGACTGTGTGATACACAATTGTTCTGTGCGGAAACCAAGCCCATGTATTTGATTTCCGTATTGTTGTTGTTGTTAGGTGCCTTCGAGTCTGTTCCTACTCATAGCGACCTACACAACACTGCCCGATCCTGCGCCATCTTCAAATAATCATTGCTATGTTTGAGCCCGTTGTTGCAGCCACTGTGTCAGTCCATCTTGTTGAGGGTCTTCCTCTTTTTCGCTGACCCTCTATTTTACCAAGCATGATGTCCTTCTCCAGGGACTGGTCCCTCCTGATAACATGTCCAAAGTACCTCAGACAAAGTCTCGCCATCCTCACTTCTAAGGATCATTCTGGCTGTATTTATTCCAAGACAGATTTGTTTGTTCTTCTGGCAGTCCATGGTATATCCAATATTCTTTGCAAGCATCACAATTCAAAGGCGTCAATTCTTCTTCGGTCTTCCTTATTAATTGTCCAACTTTCGCATGCATATGAGGCAATTGAAAACATCATGGCTTGGGTCAGGCGCACCTTAGTTCTCAGAGTGACATCTCAGTAGTGCCATACGATAATCAGCTGAAGTATAGAATATGATAATATATAAGGGCTAACATACTTGCAGAATTTAAACTCTTCACTGTAGAGGGTTGAATTTTAATTATTAGTTATAAATCTTTTATTATAATTTATGAACTTTATCCTAAAGAAGAGTGAAATCCTAAATTCAGAACATACCACAAGTGGGGTTAAGATATCACTGTTCAGTTTTACTTTGGAAATCATTTCTGTTTTAATTTTTATTTATTTTTTAAATTTTTGCAGCTCTTTTATCTGAGCAATTTCTTGTTTGCTAAGTTATAATGGTATATATCACTCAATGAAATATGAAGAAGGTTTTCAATTCACCAGTATTTCAGCAGTACAACCTAAGTCTGAGGTGCCCCCAAAAGGCTAAATATATAATCTTCTAATGCACCATGAAAGGACCAGCAAATACCATCAATGTGAAAAATAAACACGGGCAATGAATTAAAATGGGAATTTAATCTATAGTGTTTCCTGGCTGTGCATAGATAATTACTTAAGAGTGTAATGATTTATTGATTTTTAGTGAAATTTGGCTTTTTTCTTAGTGGATTGTAACTTTTCAGTTTGAACATTTCATCTAGAAACACTGACCAAATGTCACATATTGTTTTAAAAGCTGTTCGACTTACTGATAACATTTTTGGTAAAGAGAAGCATTGAAAGAAAAAAGGAATACTTTTTTTGTTCCCACTCTAATGGTGAAGATCTTTTATTTCTCTTTCTTTAGGTTTTTCCCCCATTGGCTTTTTGGCAGTAAACAGTCTGCTTAGCATTTAGGGATAGTCTGTAAAATTTGAAACCTGGATTTTAAGTTATCTTTTTAAGCAGTATTTACATACCTGACAAGACATTTAAGATAATTTAATTCCTTTCTAGTTGTAAAAATGGCGTGTTGGCATCAGAGGTCCTCAAACTTCCTAAGGGAGAGAGAGAGAATGAAGATTAACATCAGCCCAAGGCTGATTCCTATGAAATGGAGGTCAGACATAACCTTATGCTCCGACCTTTTTACCAGTTCTGAAACCAGCTGTCCCTCCCACGGCACTCTCTACTGCCCTGCTGGGTTCAATAATTCATCGCAATGGCCACACACAACTCACAGACAATACTCATGATTATGGAGTTTATTAGGAAAGTAACAGGCTACATTTCAGGATCAGGAATGACTCAGGAGACATTTCTTCAAGCAAGACAGCCTGTTCTCAGCCATGACCACAGGCGGGCCTCTCTCTGGCCTCTGCTCTGTTACAAAGTTCTTTATCTCTGCCAGTAAGTGCCTGGAGGCCCCCACTCTGCCAGTAAGCCTCAGCCTGAAAGCACTCAGCTCTCTCTTGTTCTGTGGGTCAGCAAGCCTAGCTCCGTTGACAAGTGCCTGGAGGCACCCCACTCCTCCAGGAAGCCTCCTGCCTGAAGGTGCTCAGCTCTCTCGCTCCGTGGGTCAGCACACTCACTGTAGCCCCTTTTCTCCATGGACCGAGAAGCCCAGTGCGCCATCTCGAGCCAGTTTTCTGGTGCTGCTGCCGCCATTTCTGTGCCACCACTTCTTGCCTTCTCCTGCTGTCTCCGGTTGTTACAGCTCTCTCTCTGTCGCCTAGGTCTAGGAGGTTCTCAGTGCAGGGACCCCAGGCCCAAAGGATGCGCTCCACTCCCGGCTCTGCTTTTTGGTGGTAGTGAAGTCCCCCCATCCTGCCTCTGGGATGGCTCATTTTAACCCTATTGGGATGGCAAAACTGACCAATCCCCTTGTCAGTTTCTGTACACCTTATTTACATGGTCCCACAAAGGTGCCATGCACTTTATTTGCATTATTAGCAAACTTTCCAGTCCCCATAGCCCTACCCGATCATTTGGTGGGAGTTACAAGACCATGGCGAGAAAGACCATATAACAATCCATCTATCACACTGCACCATTGCATTTCCATAACTAAGATTCTATTGTTGTTAGCTGCCATCAAATCAGTCCCAACTCATGGTGACTCCATGTGTGCAGAATAGAACTGTCTTTCAAGGTGCCTCTGGGTGGGTTCGAATCACCAACCTTCCTGCTGGTAGTTAAGCACTTAACTCCTTTTAATCAAAACTGAAATTCATTGCTTCCATCTGGAATTCTTTTTCCCTTTTTCTGTTTGCATCCAGGGTGTACAGTATGATGTGTTTAGCACAGCAAAAGCAAAATTTATGATTTGATTATTTATTCGATGGAACCTCTCCCTGGACAAAGCAAGCAGCATTTGTAGATCCAGTATAAACAGTGTTCCCACTATTAACTGCATTTATGTTCAAAGATGAGCTGTTATGTAATATAATCTATGACATATGCCCTGTTGTAAATTTCTACAGGGAATTTTCTATCATCTCTGAACCATGCTTTCCTGTTTCTTCTCTCTTAGTAAAGTTCATGCTTCCAAACATTTGAATATGCTATCCTGTGTATCATTTAAACATTAAGCATCCAAAAATTAAAATGCCCTTTCTTAATACATGTGTTTGGCTTAATGCAATGTTTGCTATAGTTTATATAACTAAAGTTGAAAGTTGGATTCTTACAAATTATTTTCCTGGGCTTTTACCGTTGCTGAGTATTTCTTAGAGAACCTGGGTGGTACAAATCATTAAAGCACTCTGCTAATCGAAAGATTGGAGGTTCAGTTCCACCCAGAGGTGCTTCAGAAGAAAGGCCTGGGGATCTGCTTCTGCGAAATCAGTCATTGAAAACCCTGTGGAGCACAATTCTATTCTGACACACATGAATTGCCATGGGTCAGAGTCAGCTTGACGGCAACTGGTAAATATTTCTTTGGCCAAGTTAGTCTGAGGACAATCGTAAATGCAACTCACATCTATTCTTTAGGTTTTATAGGGTTAATTTTTTTTTTTTAATGACTTAATTTCTAAAGTCACCTAGAGCTTCATGCTGAGAGACTGGGCCTCGAGTTTTAAGATTTCATCTCTTCGACAAATATCCAGGAATTCAATTTTTCTTCCTAACATTGATACGAAGCAAAATCAGCTGAACCTGTGGAGATTTAAACCTGCCTTTCTTTGACTCATACCCTTTGTATTGAATGGCTGTAGGGCACAGTTTCAATTTATCATTCAGCTCTCCTCTCTGGATACTAAAAGAAATTTCTGTTCTTTCTCTCTCAAAATAGATGTAAAAGTACCATTATTATAAAGAAACTCGGACTGTTAGATGGTTTAACATTTATAGTAAAATTTAATTTGGATTACGCTAACTCAGAGATTGCTACAGAGCAGAGCTGCAGTTCCACTTTGCACAGGCTATACAAGTGATTTGCTATGCCGTTAATGGTGACGAAGAAAAGCAAGTAACAAAAATGCAATTAAAACAAATTTATTCAGCATCTAGTGAGACCCAGGCATTATGTTAGTTGCTCAGGATTCAGACATAAATAGGAAAGCCATCCCTTGCCTTGACAAGCTCAATTTTAAAAGTGAATTTCT